CCCCCCCCCCCATACTATTTACTTACTTCCTTTTCATGGATATGTTATATGCACTGGCACTTTAAAAAGATAATTGTATTTATAGATCTTTCATTTACATTTAAATGTAAAATGTCCTGCTCCTGATATTCGGATTCTCCCCGAATCTTACCTTATAAGGTAGAATTGGGATACTCTTTAGTAAGGATTAGAATGGAATAGAGGTGTATACCTGGCAAATAGAAAGGAATTCCTAGAGAATAGGGTATCCAGAGGGATAGAAGAGGTTTTGTTGGGGAAAATAGGTAGTTTCTTAAGCATCCTCCCATTTCACATTGTGATTACTGCCAGGTTATTTCACTGACATGATTCATTTGTCATGCTTCAATGGATGTATGCTGATTGTCATGTGTATGTCAGGTACCATACTAAATGCTGGGGTTCTTAAAAGGAATATTACCCATAATACACAGGTCTGTACTCAAGAACTAGGCAGCACAGAAGAGGGCCGGTGCTGAATGTGTTGGGAGCTTCATTTTTTGAAAGTTGAGCCTAATTTTCTGTATGATAGCTGTGTATTTTTATTTGTTTGGGTTGAATCTACAGATATGCTCACTGTAGATCTACCCTGCAGTTGACCTTATTTATTCCTGGAGGCTGCTTTTTGGGTACCCATTTGCCCTTTTTGTCTCAAATGCTCTAGCTCTGTGGCAGGCTTCCCTCTCCTTTCAACACTATTGCATATTTAATAGCTATTTAAGATCTACTCCATCAGACTGTTGCAGTATCACCTCTCCCCAGCCCCCCCCTTCTGTTCCAGTTTGCTTTTGAATTATGACATTGGTAGATATTTTTCTATCCATTTCTTTCTTTTTAAATGATTGGTTTAATAATTTTCTTTGTGTATTGAAAAAAATCTTTATTGAAGAAACTGCATGTGTTCATTTGTTATCATTCACCCAACAGATGTTTATTGAGAACCTATTACAGGTTGAGCATCCCCAATTTGAAAATCCAAAATCTAAAATGCTTCAAAATTTGAAACTTTTTGAGTGCCAACATGATGTTCAAAGGAACATTTTGGATTTTGGATTTTTGGATTTGGGATGCTCATTCTACCAGTAAGTATAATGCAAATATTCCAAAATCTGAAAAATCTGAAATCCAAAACAGTTTTGGTCCCAAGCATTTCAAATATGGGATGTTCAGCTTGTACGTACATGCCAGGCACTGTTGTAAGCACTGAAGATGCAGCTCTGATCAAAAGCTTTTAAGAATCCCTGCCCTCTTGGAGGATATGATTTGTTGTGGTCCTTATATTCTGTCTACGTGCCACTTTATTTTTGCAGTAACGATGATGACCTGTTTATTCATAATCCTATACTTATGATAATTTTGAGGAAGCAGCTCGATCCCAACTGTAGAGCCCAGTTTTACCAATGGGCAACGATTAGCTTGTATCCTTGACTCAGGATAAATTGTACTGCTGTATTTTTTTTGTTGTTTTGCAATAACTTTTTATCTTGGAAGAGAATTGTCAGTCTGGTTTTGAAATTTAGTAGCCATTTATTAATACTGGTAATTGCATGATTTGGCATGTGTGTTTAATAGTTTTTTTAGTGATATACCTACACTACTTTTTTTAAAGGTCTTACCAGTAGTAGAGCTTTGATCAGCATATGCTACAGGTGGGTTTATCTTAACCATGAGCAAACACAGGCATATTCTGTCAATGGTCTTTTGTGTAATCTCCAGACGGATAAATAATTCAAAGGAAAATACATATTTAAAAATATCTTACCTGTGAATAACTTGTGATTTCTTCCTGTTCCATCCATAAGTCATGTTGCACCTTTAAAAAAGAATTGTAAGTCAATATTCCTCCATTAAAATTTGTTATTTAAAATTTGTAAAAGCATCTAGTAGAATAGCAATTAATCCCCAAACCTAAAATTTTGAATCTGTTTGAAAACAGATTCACGAATGAAAGTTTATGTGCTTACATGAAAATATAACCTTTAAATATCCTTACTTGTAAATTATTTCATGCAAGATGAGTAAATTCTTCATGTTTATCAAGCAATACTTACCATATTTACTTTGTATGATTTTTATTATTAAAGTCTTTGTTTTCTTCCTACTAAAAACTTGCTGAGTAGCAAGGCATAAAGATGTCTTGGGAGTATTTTTATTTCATGCAAGATGAGTAAATTCTTCATGTTTATCAAGCAATACTTACCATATTTACTTCGTATGATTTTTATTATTAAAGTCTTTGTTTTCTTCCTACTAAAAACTTGCTGAGTAGCAAGGCATAAAGATGTCTTGGGAGTATTTGGTGTTAATTTGAATGGTCAGCAGACTTGAAATAGATACCAGTATAGATGTTGAGGTATTTTTATTCTCACTAGGGTATTAACTTTGAAAATCCTAGTTGAAAATAAAAATCTTACTTTATGAAATATATGCATTAGGAGAAAGAGTGGAAATGTTGTGATTGGGAAAAAAGTTTACTCTAAACCATTATCATCTGATACTAGTCACCAATAAATACTTTAAAAATATTTATAGAATGCAGAAGAATTTAAAGAAAGTATCTGTTAAATGATACAGCCTTCTTAGCCTGCAGAAAAATAAGTTATGAAGTAATAATGGACATGTGGTTTGATTGTGTGTCCTTTGGCATAGATAGTGTAACTATACTTTCTTGAATAAATTCTTATTATCCCCATCAGAAATAAGAGTAGAAACAGGTGCTTATTTTAGTCACAGAGGGCATCGGCATATTTGACAGGGGATGGCCAAGACCTGAAGCCTGGACATTCAGCACTATTGAAGAGATTAGAAAGATATCCGAGAACAGAGCAGGCAGAAAGTCAGAAGGCTGGGATGTCAGTAGATAATAGAAGAATCAAAGATGTCATAGGTCAGAGCCTGCTGTGGAGCCAGCTGGGCTAGAGAAGATGGGTCACCGTAAGAGAATAAGTGACCAATGTCTCATGGTCAGAAGGTTGAAGGCAACAGCAGTAGCTATTTGTGACCCAAACTGGGAATTAGTCCTTTACTTCTGGGATACAGTAGGCTACTGAAGAACACGGAGGTTAAATGGGACAGTGGTCAGGGTAAGCAGCAGGTATTTAGGGGGTTTGATATCACAGCATGGCTGTGGGTTCATGTGACCACCAGTGGATAGATCAGGCACTGAGGTGATGATTGGGCCTCTGGATCAGAGAAGATTTAGGTGGAAGCTTTTATGTGTTCTGCATAGTGCTTTTGGAAAGAAGTTGGCCCAAAGTTCTGGGATGATTGTGGGATATGGCAGCACACAGGCTTAAAGCTCTAAGTCATGATGTTTCTGGATTCCAACATTTGGAGCTTTATCAAATAAAGTTTTACTCTACCATTTGAAACAATGCTAAGGTCAAGATGAAAGATGTGGACCAAGTCCAGTATCTAACAATAAATGGCTAGTATTTATTTAGCACTCACTGTGTCAGGCATTGTTCAAAGTGCTTTACATGTATTGTTCCATTTATTCTTCCCCAAAACCCATTTAGAGAGATGGACATTGGCTTGCAGAGATTCTACTTGAGCAATAAAACAACAAGAAGGACTAAGTCTGATGTGTTTAGGCATGGGGTTATGGTGTTCTCCAAACGCCAGCAGTACTAAAATTTATCTTTAGCTTTCCTCATTGTTTTATGGTCTGTGGCCCTTAGATGTTGACAGCATATTTAACAAGTGCCAGTGGTCCTGTGCATTCTGTATGGCTTAGGTTCCTAACACCTGTTTAGGGTGTCTTCCTAGACCATTCTCAGTTTGGCTGGTCCCCTTTTCTGATCTTCCATAGCTTTTATTGTCTGCACACATTTTGTCACTTATACTCCTTCTTCCTTTTTTATACTTGTTTTTTAATTGTTTAATATATATAAATTTTGCCTCAACAAACATCTTGAGCCAGCATCATTGTAAATAATCTAATAAATTCACATAATATATTCTGTACTTTTCTTTCTACCTTAGTTTTAATCAAGTTGTAGTCAACTGTTAAGAAATTAATTATTTTTACATATTTTATGATGTATGAAATGATACCTTTTTTGATTTTCACAGGGCAGACTCAGAAAATGAATCTTTTTCAGTCAGTAACAAGTGCCTTGGATAACTCATTGGCCAAAGATCCTACTGCAGGTAAACTTCATTTGTGTTTGACTGTGGTGGCTATGTTAATTCCAGAATTGAATATTTGCTTGAGATAACTGTCTGGAGCTCAATGGTTAACATTCTATTTACCTGAAATTTTAGAAAGACCTGATCAAATGATTAAGGCTAGATAATCAAATTGCAATATTAACACTTTTTAAAATCCACTCATTGCTAATTAGTTCCCATGTATATCTAAAATCATTAAGTTAACTTTCTAACTTATTAATAATTCTATTAATATCTTCTGGATTAATACCTACTGTGTTCTCCTGTTTCACTAGCATATAGAAAATATGACTTCATTCAGATATCTATTTATAAAATGAAAGTTTGACTCCATACTTAACCTTTGGGATACATTGTCATTCAACATGGAAGATTTTTTGGAAATAATTTTAATGTTTATAAGTAACTTATACATAACTTAATCTTCATCTTATTAAATTATTGTTTTTTTATTGTAAAATAGTTGATTGTACATATCTGTGGGGTACAGAGTTGAATATCAGTACCTGTGTACAATATGTGATACTCAAGTCAGGATAATTAGTGTATTCAACATTGTACAATGGAGTTGTTTTTTGTGGCCCCTTTCCAATTCCTCCCTTACCCTGTCCCTCACCTTTCCCACCTCTAGTAACCTCAGTTCTGTTCTCTTCTTTTGAAAGTTCAATGTATTATTGTGATTGTTTTATCTTTCTTTCTCTTTTTTATTTATTTGCTTATTTTTTAGCTTTCACATATGAGTGAGGATGTGCGATATTTCTTTTTGTGCCCTGCTTATTTCAGTTACATAATTTTCTTTAAGTTCATCAATGTTACTATGAATGGTAGTATTTCATTCTTCTTTATGAAAGAGTAGTATTCCATTGTGTAAATATACCACATTTTCATTTTCCAGTCATCTGATCATGCACACTATGGTGGGATCCAACTCTTGCCTGTAGTAAATAGAGCTGTGATAAACATGGGGGTGTAGGTATCTCTTTGACATGATGATTTCTGTTCCTTTGGATATATACCCTGCAGTGGAATTGCTGGATCCTATGGCAGTTCTGTGTATAGTTGTTTGAGGAAATTCCATGCCATTTTCCATAATGGCTGCACCAATTCACAGTCTCACCAACAGTGTAGGAAGGCTCTCCTTTCTTTACATTGTTGTCAGCATTTGTTATTCTCTGTCTTTTTGATAATAGCCAGTCTAACTGGGGTGAGATGATATCTCAATGTGGTTTTGATTTGCATTTTCCTGATGCTGAGTGATGTTGAGCATTTTTTCTTGTGTGTGTGGACCATTTATATATCTTTCCTTGAGAAATGCCTATTCAGCTCCTTTGCCCATTTTTTGACTGGGTTATTTGTTTTTTTACTATTAAGTTGTTTGAGTTCCTTGTGTATTCTGGATATTAATCCTTTGTTGGATGCATAGTTTGCAAATATTTTCTCCCACTCTGTAGGTTGTCTTTTCACTCTTTTAATTGTTTCTTTTGCTATGCAGAAGCTTTTTATTTTGATATAATCCCATTTTTGTTTTTTGTTACCTGTGCTTTGGGGGTCGTATTCATAAAATCTTTGCCCAGCCCTACATCCTGAAGTGTTTCCCCTATGTTTTCTTTTAGTAACTTTATAATTTCAGGTCTTACATGTAAGTCTTTAATCCATTTTGAGTTGATTTTGTTATATGGTGAGAGGTATGGGTCTAGTTTCATTCTTCTACATATAGATGTCCAGTTTTCCTAGCACCATTTATTGAAGAGTCAATCTTTTCTCTAATGTATGTGCTTGATGCCTTTTTTAAAGATAAGTTGGCTGTAATTATGTGGGTTGATTTCTGGATTCTCTGTTCTTTTCCATTGGTTTGTTTATGTTATTATGCCAGTGCCATGCTGTTTTGGTTGCTATAACTTGGTAGTATAATTTGAACTCAGGTAGTGTTATGCTTCCATTTTTTTTGCTCAGGATTGCTTTGGCTCTTTGAGGTCTTTTGTTGTTCCATATGAATTTTAGGATTTTTTTTTCTGTTTCTGTTAAGTGTCCTTGGTATTTTGATGGGGTTTGCATTGAATCTGTAGATGGCTTTGGGTAGTATGGATATTTTCACTACGTTAATTCTTACAATCCAAGACCATGGGATGTCTTTCCATCTTTTTGTGTCCTCTTTAAATTCTTTTAACAGAAATTTGTAGTTCTTGGTGTAGAAATCTTTTACCTCCTTGGTTAAATTTATTCCTAAATAGTTTATTTTGGGGGTATTATTGTAAATGGGCTTGCTTTCTTGATTTCTTTTTCTGCTAGTTTGTTGTTTGAGTAAAACATGCTACTGATTTTTGGGTGTTGATTTTGTATCCTGCAAGTTTACTGAAATTGTTTATCTGCTCTAAGAGTTTTTGGTAGAGTCATTAGGGTTTTCTGTATATAGAATCATGTCATCTGCAAACACGGACAATTTGACTTTCTCAAAGTATTTCTCTTGTCTGATTGCTCTGGCTCATACTTCCAATGCTTTGTTAAATAGGAGTGGTGAGAGTGGGCATCCTTATCTTGTTCCTGTTGTTATCATTCAGGATGATATTGGCTGTGGGTTTGTCATATATGGTTTTTATTGTCTTTAGATACTTTCCTTCTATACCAGATTTGCTGAGAGTCTTTATTATGAAGGGATTTTGAATTTTGTCAAATGCTTTTTCTGCATCTAATAAGATAATCATATGGTTTTTGTCCTTGACTTTGTTGATGTATTGTATCACATTTATTGATTTGCATTTGTTGAGCTATCCTTGCATCCCTGGGACAAATCTCACTTGTTTGTGCTGTTTAACTTTTTTGATGTGTTACAGTATTCTGTTTGCTAATATTTTGTTGATGATTTGTGCATCTATGTTCATCAGAGATATTGGCCTATAGTTTTCTTTCTTTGTTGTATCTTTGATTTTGGTATCAAATAATGGGTTTGGGAGAATGGCCTCTGTTTCAATTTTTTGGAATAGTTTGAGGAGAATTGGTATTAATTCCTCTTTTTTTTTTTTTTTAAAGATGACTGGTAAGGGGATCTTAACTCTTGACTTGGTGTTGTCAGCATCATGCTCTCACAAATAAACTAACTGGCCATCCCTATATAGGGATCTGAACCTGTGGCCTTGGTGTTATCAGCATCACACTCTCCCAAGTGAGCCACAGGCCAGCCCTTAATTCTTCTTCAAAGTTTCGGTAGAATTCAACAGTAAAGCCATCTTGTCCTGGGCTTTTCTTTGTTGGAAGACTGCTGATTACTGCTTCAATCTTCTTGCTTGTTATTGGTCTGTTCAGGTTTTCTATTATTCTTGGTTGAGTCTTGGTAGTTTGTATGTGTCCAGAAACTTATCTGTTTCCTTCAGATTTTCAAATTTGTTGGCATATAGTTGTTTATTATAGTCTCTAATAGTTTTTTGTATTTCTGTGGTATTGGTTGTAATGTCTCCTTTTTCATTTTGTTATTTGGTTTGTCTATTTTGTTTATATTCTGAAAAACCAACTTTTTGTTTCATTGATCTTTTGTATCATGTTTTGGGTTTCTATGTCATTTAGTTCTGCTCTGATCTTAATTATTACCTTCCATGTATTTTGTGATTGGATTGTTATTGTTTTTCTAATTCTTTGAGGTGTAGCATTAAGTTTTTTATTTGAAATCTTTCTGTTCTTTTGATATAAGCATTTATTGCAATAAATTTCTCTCAGTACTGCTTTTGCACAGTACCACAGGTTTTGGTATGATGTATCTTTATTTTCATTAGTTTTGAGAAATTTTTGGATTTCCTGTTTAATTTCTTCTTGGACCCATATGTTGGTCAGGAGCATGTTGTTTAATTTCCATGTGCTTGTATAGTTTCCAGAGTTTTGCTTGTTATTAATTTCTTGTTTTGATCCATCGTGGTCTGAAAATAAACTTGAAATGACTTCAATTTTTAAGAGTTTGTTGAGACTTGATTTGTAATCTAATGTGTTCTATCCTGGAGGATGTTCCATGTGCCGATGAGAAGAATGTATGGTTCATGGTTGTTAGATGAAATGTTTTGTAGATATCTGCCAAGTCCAACTGGACTAAAGTGTGGTTTAAATCCTGTGTTTCCTTGTTGATTTGTTGCCTAGATGATCTGTCCAATGTTGACAGGGGGGTGTTCAGGTCCCCAACTATTATCATATATGAGTCTATCTCTTTACTTAGGTCTAATTGTGTTTGCTTTATATATCTGGGTGCTCCAATGCTGGGTCCATATATTTCTGTGATTGTTATGTCTTGTTGGATAGATCCCTTTCTCATTACATAGTGGCCTTCCTTGTCTCTTCATAGTTTTTGGTTTAAAGTCTATTTTATCCAACATAAGATTTGCTACTCCTGCTCATTTTTGATTTCCATTTGCATGGTATATCTTTTTCTATCCCTTCACTCTTACACTGTGTGTGTCTTTACAGGTGTGGCGAATCTCTTATAGATAGCATATATAATTGCGTCTAGCTTTTTAATCCAGTTACAGCTTTTGTCTGTCTTTTGAGTGGGGAATTTAATCCATTTACATTTAGGGTTGTTACTGAAACATGTCAACAATTCTGGCATTTTATCAGTTTTTATTTGGATGTCTTAAATATATTTTGTTTCTTTCCCTTTTATTGTTTATCTTTAGTGTTTATTGGTTTTTGGAGGTGATAAGATACAGTTTCTTTCTCTTTCTTGTTTGTATTTTCGTTCTACCAGTGAGTTTTGTTCTTTCTTGTGTATTCATGGTAGTCATTATTGGTTTTTGGATTCCAGATGCAGGACTCCCTTGAGGATTTCTTACAGGGCTGGTAGTGTGGTAACAAATTCTTATAGGTTTTGTTTGTCTGAAAAATACACTATTTCTCCTTCATTTCTGAAAGATAGTCTTGCTGGGAATAGTGTTCTTGGCTGGCAGTTTTTTTCTTTTAGTATTTTGAATATATCATCCCATTCTCTTCTGGCCTGTAGAGCTTCTGTTGAGAATCTGCTGTTAGTCTGACAGGGATTTCCTTGTAGGTGACTTGACGCTTTTCTCTTGCTGTTTTTAGGATTCTCTCTTCATCTTTGAGTTTTGCCAGTTTGATTATAATGTACCTCAGAGAGGACCTTTTTGGACTGAATCTGTTTGGGGATCTTTGAGCCTCCTGAATCTGAAGGTCTATGTCTCTCTTTATACCTGGGAAGTTCTCTGCTATTATTTCATTGACTATGTTCTCAATGCCTTTTCCTTTCTCCTCCCCTTCAAGAATGCCAATGATTTGGATATTTGTGCACTTAAGGCTGTCTGCTATCTCTCTTAGATTTTATTCATTTAAAAAAAATTTTGTTTTTCTTTTGTCTGCCTGAGGTATTATGAAGA